TCAACACATCCACAGCCCCACAGCCCGGAACCTAGATAGAGTCTTTTCAACTGGCGGAAATTACCCTACCAGACTGCACACACTGCCAACACCCAAAGAATAGGAGCACCTGAGTACCATACAGGGCGCTACCCGTCTTTCATGCCCCCTGGGAGGCTTTCATAGGACGTTAAACAATACATACATACATACATACACACAATACCACCTCAGTTCAATCCTTCAATTCTTCCAGCACCCACTATCTCCCACACACTCACTTAGTGATGCTCGCTTAGTCACCTAGCACTCATTGCCGCCGCAGCCTATATGCCTCCTGTACGCTCAAAACGCAGCGCTGAAGCGCACAAAGTAGCTCCAAAGCGCGCCAAAACAGCCCAAGGCACTGCCTCACAGCCTATCCCTGTAGAGGCTACGCCGCCTGAGATACCTATACACACCTCACCACGCAAAGCGCTGGCTATTGCCGCAAGCCAGGCGACCGACGAGCATCCGTTCGAAAGGCAGCTGCTTTATTTGTTGCTGGAAAACGCGATCGCTGCGCCTACTAAAAGCTCGAATGCTGCCACTAACGCGCCTACCGAAGTGCTTGAGGTTGTTAATAGCGGTGATGAAGGCAGTGATGGAGGCCTAGATAGCCACCTTGCGGATGACTTCGCGGGCATTGTATGGGATCAATTACCTGGTTACTGTAAGCCTTTGCGTACACCACGATATAAGAAAAGCTAGGTATACAACTATGGCTATCGAGTTAGCAAGTCTAAAGCTCCACAGCGCACGTTCTAGGTGTGCAAGTACTGCCACCAGCGCCGTGTAAGCCACCAGAGCTTTATCTATAAGACGACGTCATTAACGACAGCTGCGCTACGCCACCTCGCCCAGGTTAAGCTTGGCTACAACATAACAAAAGCTAGTGTTGTAGCGCTAAAGGCGCTGCTAGGTAGGCAACGCTCGTTGCAATAGGCAGCCCATAAAGGCGTTGTTGTTAGCTAGGAGGTTGCTAACATAGTAGGCAACTTCGACGTTGCTGGCTTTAGGTACGTAGTAGTGAGCTGGCTTATTAACAACAACCACCTATTACGCGAGTTTAAAACGCAGTCGTTCTAAGATATAATTGCGTACGCTAACCTAGAGGCAGCGGAAGCGTTGTGGACAAGTTATAATAGCGTTTCGCGATATGTTATAAGGTTGTATAGCTACCTTTAGCTAAAGGTTATTTTGTTGTTGTTAAACGCGTCTAGTAAGATCCACGTGAGCTTTAACGGATAGACAACGAAAGGTGGCAAGCGCGGCTTTATAGGCATTGTTGCTCACTTTGCTGACTCTGCCGGCACTATTAGGGACCTGCCTATTGCCCTGCCGCAGCTTACGGGCGCCCACACGGGTGAGAAAATCGCCGAAGTTGTTACTATAGTACTGCAAGAATTCGGCATTAGTAGCACCTAGCTAGGCTACTTTATACTCGACAACGCATCCGCTAACGATACCGCTGTTGCCAACCTCGCTCGCCTCCACAGCTTTGTTAAAGCTCACCGCCGGCTCCGTTGCGCGCCTCATACGCTGAATCTTATTAGGCAGGCAATTATATTCGGTGTAGATAAGGAGGCGTACAACAATAGTAAGGACGAGTGGAAAGTTAAGGCGCAATACTTAAAGGAGTGGCGTTGCGAGTGACCTTTAGGCGTACTTATCGCGATAGTAAACTACATTAATACGCCTAAGCAACATGCACTCTTTGAGGACGCTCAGCGCTTAGTTAATGCGCTCCCGCATGCCGCCACTACTGCGATACTAGAGCTAGTGAAACCTGTTGTTACTCGGTGGAACAGCTATCACGATACCTTTAAGCGCGCAGTTTTGCTAAAGGACGCTGTTGACAAGTACGCTAGCGATCACATAGAGCGTTAGGCTCGCGACGACGCGTACGCTGCTAGCCGCCGCAATAAGCTGCTAGATGCCCCAGCGTGGATGAGATCGGGCGGGCTTACTGCGGCAGACTAGGCAGTAATTACTAAGTATATCGCAGTACTGAAGCCGCTGAAGGAGGCTACAAGAAGCCTTAAAGCCCGCGGTACTTTAGGCAGCTTTGGCGCAATCTACGAGGTATATCTAGTCTACGAGGCCGTGCTAAAAGCCTACGAAACAGCTCTTAAGCCGTACGGCGGCGTTAATCACAACGAAGTTCACTCCCTAGAGGATTACCTCGTAATTAACCTCCGCGCTGCTTGGCACAAGCTCGACCGCTATTACCTCCTCCTCGACGACTCTCCCGCCTACTACGCTGCCTGTTGCCTCTATCTATACTACAAAAGCTGCTGCGAGAAGAGCTGGCGCGACAAGCCGTCGTGGATCCGCGCAGGTGAAGCTAGACTACAGCAACTTTGGGCGCAGTACAGGCGCCCTCTGGCACCTCTAGCGCGCACTCTAGCGCCTCGTACAAGTTCTATCCGCGACGCAACAGCGGCTATGGTCAACACTGAGCAGACGGCGGAGGTAGTAGGGGTGGATCAGCTAGAGCGCTGGCGGCGCTTCGAGCTGCCTTAGGATGACGCTTAGTTTAATTCCAGACTTAATCTGATTAAGTATTGGCAGGACCTACGCCCTAAATACCCGCAGCTAGCGCAGCTCGCGATCGACGTCCTTACAATCCCTGCCTCTAGCTGCGACTGTGAGCGCATGTTTAGTGAACTAGGTGACCTGTTAGAGCCTCGGAGGCGCAAGATTAGTAGCAACTTACTAGCGGCACTGCAGTGTATAAAGAGTTAGCGGGCGGCAGGCTTTAAGCCTTAAAACTAAGCTGACGCAGAGGCGCTGATTTTAGATAAGAAGATTAACGACGTCTACAAGGTATGCGAGTGGGATTACACTAGCTAATAATTTGTATATAATTACAGTCGCGATTGCAATTAAAACACTAGGAATTAATCAATCTTCAATCAGGATTACCTAAAACTTAAC